TGACTCATAGATTACTTTAGAAATGTGCTATTTAGCTAGGTGCAGTGGTTCATGCCTGTAATCCGAGCTCTTTGCAGGGTTGAGGCAGGAGGACTGGTTGAGGCCAGGAGTCTAAGACCTGGCAACACAGCAAGACTCCATCTCTGCAAAAACTTAAAAATTAGCCAGACATGGTGGCACATGTCTGCAGTTCCAGCTACTCAGGAGACTGAGGCAGAAAGATTATTTGAGCCCAGGAGTTTGAGGCTGCAGTAGACTATGATTGTGCCACTGCACTCCAGCCTGGGCCACAGAATGAGACCCTGTCCCTGAAAAAAGAAAAGGAAAAAAAAAGAAATGTGTCACTTAGTTTCACAAATTTGGGGGAAATTTTTCAGATACCTTTCTGTTATTGATTTCTAATTTGCATTCACCATGTTCAAAGAACATGCTTTGGGCTAGGCACGGTGGCTCATCCCTGTTATCGAGCACTTTGGGAGGCTGCGGCAGGCAGACTACCTGAGGTCAGGAGTTGAGACCAGCTTGGCCAACATGGTGAAACCCCGTCTTTACTAAAAATACAAATATTAGCTGGGCATGGTGGCGCACATTTGTAATTCCAGCCATTCGGGAGGCCAAGGCAGGAGAGACACCTGAACCCGGGAGGCAGAGGTTGCAATGAGCCAAGATTGCATCACTGTGCTCTAGCCTAGGTGACAGAGTAAGACTCCATCTCAAAAAATATATAAAAAATAAATAAATAAAATAAAAATTAGGTTAAATTGGTTGATAGTATTATTTGAGTCTTCTATATCTTAACTGATTTTCTGTATGCTTCCTATATTAATTGAGAGAGCTGTGTTAAAAATCTCCGTTTCTAACTGTGGATTTTTCTATTTCTCCCCATTTCTGTAAGTTTTACTTCACATATTTCGATGTTCTATTATTAGGGACATAAATATTTTAAATTCTTATATCCTATGATTGACCTCTTTAGCACAAAATGACCCTTTGTATTAGTAAAATACTGATAGCGAGATTTATTCTCAAAGACTGTTAGCAAGGGACACTGAAGAAACTAGTAACATGATTTCTCTTTCCCATCTAACAGACCTTACCGTATCATCAAGGCCATCTATATGCAAAACCACTGTTTTGGCACGTTTGTTTGTAGTTCCCAGAAAAAACTGAGCTTTCCTTCGACGTGAATTCATTTCATTAAAACTATCACCATCTGCCATATTGGAGGACTGAAGAATGTCATAGATTTCAGAGGCCAGAAGTTTTGTTTCTCCTGGAGTTGTAGTTCTTGAAAAGAAACACATATATAATTAGTTTTGTCACTTCTACTGATTCTGTAATTTTATTTCTCCACTAAAAGGAGCCTTGTTTCTTTCACTCTAATGCTTTGTTCAATTTAAAAGCAATAGCAGTGAATCCTAGAAAAATCAATAATGTAGAAAAAGCATCTTGTCTATAACAATCTTCTAATTTCATTTTAAACTCGTGGCTCATTGAGATTCAAAATCCATCACTATAGAGGTATAAAAACACATTTGGCTGGGCGCGGTGGCTCATGCCTGTAATCCCAGCACTTTGGGAGGCCAAGGTAGGTGGATCACTGAGGTCAGGAGTTCAAGCATGACCAACATAGTGAAACCCCATCTCTACTAAAATACAAAAATTAGCTGGGTGTGGTGGCGCACGCATGTAATCCCAGCTACTCAGGAGTCTGAGAGAGGAGAATTGCTTGAACTCGGGAGGCAGAAGTTGCAGCGAGCTCAGATCACACCACTGGAATCCAGCCTGGGCGACAGAGGGAGACTCCATCTCAAAAAAAAAAAAAAAAAAAAAATTTTAAAGTTTAGTTATTTTTTGCATTATTATAAGGGAGTTGTAATACGTTCCTGTATTATCACTAACATTCAACTCTCAATTTGAAAGTACCTTGACTTTTAAGAAAATACAACATATAAAAATCCAAAAGG